TCCCCTACAGTTTTCTTATTCTCAACACTTTCCACAATTTTCTTACCAGCATTATCATTTCCCCAAACAACCGGTGCAGATACACGACCCTTGCGGGTTACTCTACCAGTCTCAGCAATATTCTTGTTGCTAGACAATGGCTGGATGGGAACTTCCATGCCATCCTCTAAAATAGTAGCATTGTACTTGTATGGTACAACTTTGTTTGATTTGTAAGGAACATGCCCTGGAAAGCAAATCACCACTGGAGCAACAACTGACTTGCTACAGTATTCAATTTCAACAGGGGCAAAATCATTAAAACAAGGCACAATTACGTTCACCCCACCTCAGAATAATTGAGCATTGCAGAATCATCGTTGGAGATCATATCTTCATCTGAAGAAAAGAATTCATCCGCAGAAGCATATTCATCATCTGACACCGTTTCAGCCAAACAATCTTGAATTGCATTAATCACACGGTAATCATCTCTTTGGCCTGACACCTTGAAAGTTCCATTATCCAATAATAATTGAATACCTCTTCTTACAATGGAACAACCTCGGGAATCACTGCAGCAAACCCGACAAGATCTATAGTGGTGCTCTACCCGACCCTCCATATGGCAGAAGGTAGCGCGCAACTGCACCAGATGATCATTCATATGGTTCACATCAAAGATCCGAAACTCTCCTGGACATCCAAAGACCATGTTTACTTCATCCTCATATTCTTCCCTAGGCCTGATTATATGAATGAGTCCCTCATCCATCATCTCCTGCAAATCAACCTTTATCTTATCGAACCCTTGCATATCAGTACTACAAATACCACAACAAGCATGGTCATGTGTATAGTAACTAAACTCGCAAAGGTCTGCATGCATGTTTACCAATTCACCTGTGACCAAGTTGATATCATAAATGTGGAAGCCCCCTGGACAACCAGCAAATACGTTAACAATATTCGTTCCTCTATGCTTTAGCAGAGGATTATCTTTTACATTCTAGTTGACACCTTTGAAGGACAAAAGGCCATATCTCACAATTTTCTGTACCTCTGACTTCAGAGGATAACAATTTTCCATATTATGCCATGGTGCACCCTAATGGAAAGCGCATGTCTGATCTGCCTTGTAGTACCAAGGAAATGATGATGGTATAACAGGGGGTGGCCTAGTCTGGACCAACTTTTTCTGGATCAATGCTGGGAGTAACTCTATATAACTCATGGGGATAGAGTCAAAAGGCTCTCTTCTCTGATTCTGCCCTGGATTTCCTTGAAGGATGGTCTTTGATAAGCAACTGTAGTCGGAGCTGTATTAACAACTAGAGTTACTGAGGCAACCTGTTGATGGCGCTGATGATTTCTTCTAGGAGGATTAACCCTTCTTTCTTGAATAACAACATTTGTATCTCCTTCTTTCTTTTTAGCAAACCCATATGACGGTTTCTTCACACCACCAGAATTTTCACCTCTTATCAGACGACCATCTCTTACAGCTTCTTCCAAATGAACGCCCATTCCCAGCATATCGATAAAATCACTGGGTGCACTCGCAACCATTCTTTCATAATAGAATGCACCTAGTGTCTTCAGAAAAATCTTTGTCATCTCTTTTTCTTCCATTGGAGGAATCACCTGGGCGGCTACTTCATGCTATCTCTGTGCATATTCCTTAAATGACTCCTTATCCTTTTGGACCATTGCCATGAGTTGATCACGGTCGGGCTCTATCTCCATATTGTATTTGTACTGTCTGATAAACGCTTCTCCCAAGTCATTGAAATTATGAATGTTGGCACTGTCCAGGCTCATGTACCATTTCAATGTTGCACCGGTCAAACTGTCTTGAAAGAAATGAACTAACAAGTGTTGATCATCTGTATGAGTAGACATTTGCCTCACATACATCACTAAGTGAGCACGATGGCAAGTGTTTCCCTTGTACTTTTTTGAACTCTGGTACCTTGAACTTTGCAAGTATTTTCACATTCGGAACCAAACACATATCGTTCACATTCTTCCCAAACAGTTCTTTTCCTCTGAGGGCCTTTAATTCTTTCTGCATCTTATCAAACAGATCCTGAAAATCGTCCATTCAATCATAGACACCCAAGATTTCACTTGGTGGAGGAAAAGTGCAATACACTTCATCATTAACTAATGGTACCACATTCACCGAGGGAGGTGCAACATAGTGAATCTCATTTCTAACAGCAGGAGTAATATGCACCACAGGAGGTGCAGAAACAGCAACAACTGGAGCAACTTGAGGATCTTGATTATAAACTTCTGGCAGAAAGTTCTCTAGCATTCCCCACGGATAACCCCGAGGCAAACGATAATGAAAAACAACAATTGGAGTAGTAGAAATAGGAACAGTCGGAGCTTCGGTAATGTAACACGGTGGGAGAACTAACTTGGGATGTTTTGCGTTTGATCGCATTTGTTGCAGATAGCAAGAGTCGCCAATGGCTTTTCTTTTATCCAATAAGGAAAGGCTGAAAAGAACAGGAAAGATCTTTCGATATATTTTCTTGAGTTCGGGGGGGGGGGGGTGTTAGATTATAAAAAAGGAAGGTGTTAGCATCCTTTTTATCCGTAGTTATCTACGGGATCTTAGTTGCTTACTAGATCACTTGCTTTTTGTTTGAAAATGTGCTTGTGGTATGGGTTTTGAAAAAATGTGTTTGTAATGGTTCTCGTTTCTATAAGAACGCGTACAAAGTGTTGTTTTGAAAATAGTTCAAAGAGGTGTTTTGTGGAATATGTTTTTGAAAGTATTTTGAAAATGTGTCTTTGTAATGGTTCTCGTCTCTATAAGAACGCGTACAAAGTGTTTTATCTTTTAAAAAATGTTTCAAAGTGAAATTGTGGGTGTATAAGATGTTTTTGTTATGAGCAAGCGAACAATTAGGAGTAACCTACCTACTCAAAAGGTCTTAAATGTTCTTTTCCTCCTCCTTTAGATGTTGTTATCTTACAATTGTTTTTGGTAAGAAACCCCATCGTTGGATGTGAAGGGACGGGCACGGGACGTTTTGTATAGTCATAGAAGGCAACCTATGGGAAGTTTTAGCAATATCGTTTAGGGACTAGATCGTTTACCGAAGGCTACATCGAGGGACATCGAGGGACTACAATCTTTTATTGAGGGTCTTTGTTAAAACGCCCATATTCGAGGGACATGACTATTTTACGAAAGGCAACAAAGCAGGATTACCCTAAGGGTGCTAGTGTGCAAGTGTGTTCGATTTACATGCGTTTAGTCTTGATTAGGGTTATCTACTTGTTGATTTCATGTATTTCCATACATACCCTAATTACTAGCATTTGTATTTGAAAGCGATAAATTGCGGAAATGTAAAGTCCTATGCTATTACATCATTTAAGGATAGGGGTACATAATTATAAATGGGGGTTTGCAAGAATTCAAATCCTAATTATCTATTACAACCATATTGAATTGTACAAAATATAAAAAAGAAAAAGGAAAGGACTTGTTTTGAAAATGATTTTTTGTCTTAATAAATTAAAAGGAAAATAAATATTTAAGAAAAGAAAATATTTTTGATGTCCTTATATAAAAATAGTTCTAATGCTAAAAATGATAAAAATAAGAAAGAAAAGGAAAAATAATGAGAGATAGGATCAGCATGTTGCTGAAAGAAAAAATGAAGGGGACCAGAAGTTCTGATGCCAGGCGCGTTGTGGTTCAGAATGAAACGTCAGAGGTAATCAGAAGTTCTGGGTTGATATACACTGGGGTCCTGAAAGAAACGTTAGAGGGAAAAGCAGAAGTTCTAGATTTTTTCATGCTAAAGTTCTGAGTGTCAGAACAGTGAGAAATTCCTAGATGTTCTGTGTGTTAAAACAGTGAAGAGAACTCAGAAGTTCTGTGTGTGTTAAAACAGTGGAGAGAACTCATAAGTTCTGTTGTGTATTTGTACCTTCCCGTTCTTCGTGATGTCCTCAACAAATAATGAAGGAATCTTGGACGATTCAGCGGATGATGAAGGAATCAGGGATGATTACTACCTCGGTGCATAATGAAGGAATCAGGGATGATTACTACCTCAGTGGATAGTGAAGGAATCTGGGATGATTACTACCTCAGCGGATAATAAATGAATCTGGGACGATTACTACCTCAGCGGATAATGAAGTAATCATGGACGATTACTACCTCAGCGGATGATGAAGGAATCTTGGACGATTACTACCTCAGCGGATAATGATGGAATCTGGGATTATTACTACCTCAGTGAATAATGAAGGAATCTGGGATGATTACTACCCACTACTAAAAAAATGACATTTGAGAAAAGGTTTTTACATTAGGTATCAAAGTATATGATGTAAAAAATAAAATTAAAAACATTTTACATCAGGTATTTATTTGCAAAGATATAAATAATATGAAAAAAATATTTTTCGCTATCTATTACATCGGGCCATTTAATCCTCCGATGTAAAAGGTTTCGTAAAAAAAACACGGTGGCATTTTTGTAAATAAGAAACCAGGTGGCAGAATTGTAAATAAAAAACTGGCCAGATATTACATCGGTCCCTACAGTCCACCGATGTAAAAAGTCCGGGGTAGATTGCTAATATAAAAAATATATTAAAAACCTTACATCGGGGCATTATAAAAACCAATGTAAAAAACATCAACCGCCCGAACCTTACACCGAGCCTTTCTTTAAACCGATGTAAAAAACTACCTTACATCGGGCCTTCTGTAAACCGATGTAAAAAATTTATTAAGAAAGAAGTATCCACCGGCGCCCACAGTGGACTACCATCTTCGTTAATCAGAGTGGTGCTGGTTTCATTTTCCATTCCATTGCAGTTCGTATCATTACCTAAGTCTTGTCGTCGCTGTCATCGTCACAAACCAGTTCGCCAAAAGAAAAAGTAATCAGAGCTGTGAGGTTTAGGGAAAAACCCTAACAATGATAGTTTCACAAATTTTCTGCAATGGAGGAAGATGAATATTGGATACTGAATTTCCAATGGCTTTTCCTCCTTATCGTCGATCTCACTTCCGTAGCAAAACTTATAGCTCCCTTGTCCGCATTTTCTCTCGTCTTTCTCCTTCCACCATTCTAACTCAATCCGGTAATAATCCTGCTACGATTTGAAAAATAAACTTGTGAAGTTTTCTTAAGATTATGTTATGTTGTTGTTATGGATCAATTTGATGATAGTTTCAATTTAATTGTTGCACTTGTCATATTTATTTACCATTTTTTTGTTCCTGTTTCAAGATAATGGCAATGTTAGAACGAGACGAGAAAGCCAGGGACAGGAGCCGGTTGGTTCTATACCCTTGAAGGAGATATGTGATGTTCATGAGATCATTGAGAGCGTTGGAGACAGGAGCAAGGCTTTTAGTGTCAATGAAATTGTCCTTGACGATGAAGACTCTCTGATGGGAATAGATGAACCATCCTCACTAACAAATGGTTTTCATTTGGAACAAATAATGGATGAATTGGAGCTTGTTGTGAAAGGGACTGAAGATCCTGTTTGCAATGATGGTTTAATCCCTTTGAACTGCGAGAAACAGAATAGTGGTAGTGAAGTTGATTTAATGGATTACCGAGTAGAGCATGTTGAATTTCTGCATTGTGGTACAAACACGTCTGGTATTGTAAGTGAGCTGCAATCTCAGGTACCTATGGAGCTTAATCAAGTTCATTCAGAAGTCTTTCATGTGTTGGAGTCAACAAATGGACAAGCTTCCGATTCTGTAATCAGTACAACAAGTATAAATCATGATAGTCAACAAAAGGAAATAGAATTGGTGAAACCGGTTTCTCCTGTAGCGGGATTGCTTCCTACAATACAAGAGGGTGAATTTGAGAAGGAAGAACAGTATGGTCATCAGGTTGATGAAGTAGCTCATAGTTCTTTAGATCATGATAAGACTATTGAAGCATTGAATATGACAAAAGAAGATGTTGGGTTACTGGATTCAACAATTATGGAAGATAAAAACAAAACAAAAAATAAAGAGAAATTAGAGAAGTTAATTTGTGTAACAGATGCTACAATTTCTTCCGATCTTCTGATAGAAGAAGATCTAGAAGAGGGGGAAATTTCTGGAGAGTTTGTAATGGTGGATGAAAACACATTTGACGTGTCTTCCGCGGATGCTACAATTTCAGAACAGATGAAAATGGATGAGATTCAGAAACCCGGGAATTCATTTGGAAACAAGGCATCCCCCTTCAATATGGTTAACAATGGGCTTGTAGAACCTAGGACTATCAATGCCATACCAACATATTTAACCCCAAAGCAAGTCTTGCACAAAGGATTCATGGAAGAAACCGCTATCAAAGATCTTGGTAACTCGTCTGCTGTACAGGTATGGATTTTATCTGGGCATATAAACTGATAACATCACTTTAATTTACTTACCTTACGTTATGTTTTATACTCACCACCAGTGATGAATGGAAGATATTCCATGATAATCCCTCCTTTTGTTATTTTTAACTTATTGTCCAATGAGTTTGTTTGGGAGAATTTACTTAATATAGGAATAATGTTAAGAATTATTTTATTATCAAAATAAGATTGTATTGGAAAGAGATGGTGTTGCTATTACTCTACTTTGAAGAGTAAATAACAGACCTATGCGTGTTTGCAACATATGACTCATCATTTATTTGATGAACGTTATTTTGTAGTTAGGTCTTTACATAGTTTTTTATTCACATTATTTTGCCAATTCTTTTTTATGAAATTGTGTTTTATATTATTTAATTTTGATAACATATATATTTTATGTGACTTTTCTGTTTACACACACACGTACAAGAGATATTGGCAATTAATAGTCATGTGTCCAAGAGACAATTTAGTTGTCGTATTTTGTTCACTTTATCGGGAAATTGACCAGAACACGAAGAAATTTATTACAAAGTAAGTTTATCTTTCATGTGACTTTCATTGACAACTAATAGTTATGTGATTTTTCATTGGCGAGTAAATTTAGTTATGTGATGTTTATCTTTCTATATTAGTTCTTTTGGGATTCATCAAATGGCAAATGGAAATAGAAAAAAGGCTACATGGCTTTATCACAATGTAAGTGTGATGTAAATTGTAATTTTATAGTTAAATTTATGATAAATATTCACTAATTATGTCATTCAATTGTAGACAAGGCAACAACATAACTCTAATGATTGTGGATACTATGTGATGAAAAATATGTTGGATATTGTCTCTGCTAATATAACCGAGAATTGGATGCAAGTACTAAAAATAACTTTACTTTGTTATTTACTTTTTATTTTTTGACTTAATATGAATTTTTAAAAAATAACTCTATATTGTTATATTTATGTATTATAGGTATTTGATGACCCAACAAAATTAACACAAGATGATTTGTATGATTTGCGACTCCGTTGGGTAAAATCTTTCTTTGAGTTATATAAAAATTAAGTTTATCTTGGTGAGTTTTATAGAATTGTCTAAGTTGTGGTTTTTGCACATAATTGTTATTATTGAGTTTTTGTATATTACATGTGGTTTTTGCACATGTATTGAGTTTCTTGATTTTTTTTGCTGATGTTAATTGTTATTATTTATTGTCAGGCAATGTGATTTTGGTGTTGTCTACCAAAGATATAACTCATCTACTTGTGGATTTTATATTGGTAATTCAAGTTTGGAAAAAGACTTATAAATAGTTGAATATTTTTGTATGTTTTGTGAATAATATGTAATTGTAAGTTTATTATGAGTTTATTTGTTGTGATACAATACAAGTTTGTAATACAATTGTTCAATTTGTAAGTTTGTTGTGAAAAATATGAAAACACCGACCTAGATGTGGTCTATGTGATGTTGGAAAGCTATGAAATCTATATAGCGACATAAATATAGTCTGTGTGATATTGGAAAAATATGAAAAAATGGGTACAAATTATTTTTGTACAGGGAAACATCCAGAAAATAAATAATTTATTCTCAAAAAATTTCATACATTTTACATAGGTTATTACTCCCAACTGATGTAAAAACTTTCAAAACTGTATATATTACATCGAGCTTATATTATAACCGATGTAAAAAAGGGACTTTTTACATCGGTCCACACGTTAAACCGATGTAAAAAGTTGCGTTAATTTTTTTAAAATAATGTTATAACTGTTTTTTACATCATTCTTATATTATAACCGATGTAAAAAAGGGACTTTTTACATCGGTCCACACGTTAAACCGATGTAAAAAGTTGCGTTAATTTTTTTTAAATAATGTTATAATTGTTTTTTATATCAGTCTTAGATAACAACCGATGTAAAAAAGGAACTTTTTACATCGGATCCAGAACCGATGTAAAAAGTACCTGATTTACTATATCGCCTGACTTTACATCGGACCCAGAACCGATGTAAAAAGTCAGTTTCACTCGATGTAAAAAGTCATTTTTGCACTAGTGACCTCAGCGGATAATGAAGGAACCTTGGATGATTACTACCTCACTGGATGATGAAGGAATCTTGGACGACCACTGCCTCAGCGGATGATGAAGGAATCTTAGACGATTACTACCTCAGCGAATGGTGAAGGAATCTTGGACGATTACTACCTCAGCGGATAATGAAGGAATCTTGGACGATTACTACCTCAGCGGATAATAAAAGAATATGGGATGATTACTACCTCAGCGGATGATGAAGGAATCTTGGACGATTACTATCTCAGCAGATGATGAAGGAATCTTGGACGATTACTACCTCAGCGGATGGTGAAGGAATCTTGGACGATTACTACCTCAGCGGATAATGAACGAATCTTGGACGATTACTACCTCAGTGGATAATGAAGGAATCTGGGATGGATAATAGAGGAACCTTGGATTATTACTACCTTAGCGGATGATGAAGGAATCTTGGATTATTACTACCTCAACGGATGATGAAGGAATCTTGGACGATTACTACCTCAACGGATGGTGAAGGAATCTTGGACGATTACTTCCTCAGTGGATAATGAAGGAATATTGGATGATTACTACCTCAACGGATGATGAAGGAATCTTGGACGACTACTACCTCAAAAGGTGATGAAGAAATCCAAGCTTGATTTTGTCTTGGTGAAGTTTACAGATTAATGACATTTATCTGTTGGTCTTTTCCTGAAAAGGTAAAGAATTAGTTGCATGCAATGTTATGATGTATGAAATGCATGGCGTAATGATGTCCTCAAAATAAATCAGATTATGCTGTATGCATTTGTGTTGTATGCGCTTATCATGTATGTAATATGATGCATGAAATGCGAAATGTTGTTAGAATTTAATTTTGCCTTGGAAAATAGATCCTTGACAAATGTTGGGGATTTTTGGGAAGTTGATTCCCAGACTGCTGTTGGGGATGAAGAGTATGCCCATCTTCAAAACTTGCTTAGAATGTTTCCACTGGGGATTCATGTTCTGTTGTTTGAGGAGAAATCCGCTGGGGGATGCTGATTTTGTTTAAGAAGAAAATTCTATGGAGAGTGTTGATTCCTGCTTGGGGAAATGAGATCAAGAGTGTTCATTTTCTGTTGCTCTATTGGAGAGTTATCTCTTGATGAAAGAGAAAGGAAGCTAACAACTTGTTGGGGATAAAGGAGTTGACTATTATCTAGTTATTTTTTAGGCTTTGCAGCAACTCACTTGAAAGGATGAAGTTGAACTGACATCTGGTCGGGTCCAGGCTTCACAGTAACTCACTGAGGATTGTAGAGTAGTCTACCGAGGAAGAGGAGTTATGGTCCCTTGAGGTGTGATAGTCTGAGAGGCAAATTTGAACTGGGGGATTTTGCCCTTTGTTTGGGAAATAAACCTTGTCGCCGTTCTGTCGGAGAGGCGTTTCCTTTTGAAATCAACTCTGTTGGGGAGAGGTTTTCAGAGATTGAGCTTTTGGTTGGGGATCACCCTGTGAAAAGGACTTTGTGGGGGATTCGTCACTGCCCCTGGTAGCAAGTGTTTGTAGTATTGCCAGGAAATGCTTTCCTGACCATACGCAACCCTTTGTTGGAATTCACATTCAATGCCCCAAGTGATTCAGACACATATCTTCCCCTAGTTATTCAGCATTTCTTGAGAGATTTTCGGGAATCTTGACTTGACTTCTCCCAAGCAAGTTAGACAGTGACATGTCATTCCCCCTTGCTTAATAGGGGATCTGCCATTGGAAGTGTCATCCCATTTAAAGTGATTTTGTCCATTGAAAGAGTTTTTTGTTCGCTGGATATTTGTTGTGTGCATTTCTTCGCTGTCAAATAATTAGCCATATGCAAACAACGATATTCAAATAATGAAAAGTTTATGCTTGTCTTGAAATTTTGAAAATTCATTTTAGTAGATAAAAGAAATTTTGTAAGAAAATTCAACTCAGGATTTGGAGTAAAGCCTTACAGGAGTCAGGATACCTTTTGTAACAATATGCTTTTGAACTAACCCATGCTTCAATTTGGACTTTTGAAAGGTTTTAACATGGCTTGGCGCACGGTTTAAGAAATAAAGGATAAGGCCCAAAGTGTATTTGTACCTTCCCGTTCTTCGTGATGTCCTTTAGTCCTAAGCTCAGTTAATTGTGCGTTTGAACTCCAATGATGTCTTGGTGATGGTTCAGACCAGTTAAGTTTGTGGGAAAGAATCAGAAGAAACCTTTGGTTGATTTAAAACTGAACCCATCAGAAGTCTTGAATAATCTTTAACTGGGAAGAATCAGAATAAATCTTTGAGTGACTTATCTGAACCAGGGAAAGCGTTTATTTGGAAAGTATCAGGATAAACCGTTGAGAGGTTTAAACTGAACCAAAAGAGGTCTTGGGTATCTTTTAACTAGAGAGAATCAGAATAAATCTCAGAGCGAATTATCTGAACCAGAGAAAGCGTCTACTGGGGAAGAATCAGGATAAACCATTGAGAGGTTTGGACTGAACCAGCAAGGGTCTGAAAAAGAATCAGAATAAATCTTGGAGCCATTTATCTGAACCATAGAAGATGTCCGCGGGAATGAATTAAATTAAATCATTGAGAGATTTAAACTTAACCAGCAGATGTAGTAAAATGAGTATCAGAATAATATCCATAAATGGATTATATCTGACTCGTATCTGACTCATATATGAAAGATGTACTGAATGAGCGTCAGAATGACATCAGTATCTGGAGTGTATCTGGATTGTTTCTAGAAGATAATTTGTGTAGATTGCTTCAGGTGGTCGTATAGATAATTGTCCTGTCTTGTTTCGGGTATTAATATGTAAATATGAAGCTTGATTATGACAGATGATGAAGGAATCCAGGACGATTACTACCTCAATAGATAATGAAGGAATCTTAGACGATTCAGCGGATGATGAAGGAATCATGGATGATTACTACCT